TGGAGTGGCAAAGAGCTGGTGGTTTTCTGCTGCTGTAGTCTAAGGAGCTTGGAAAGAAAAGCGTCTGGACTTCTTTAAGTTGCTTGAAGACGTTTCACCTCTCATCCGAGAAGCTTCTTCAGTTCTAGGGTCAAATGGTGGAGAGTCCCAGATTGAAACCACGTGGGAGTATCCCCCCAAAGGTGGACAAAAAGGACCCCCTGATGATCCTCTACCTAATCACACAAGCCAAGGTGTGAAAACAGGTGTAGGTCACAATCAGCCAGGGTTTCGGGTGAGCTCATTGTGAAACCTGGCCAGACACTATCATGTGATTTCCTGAGGTCAGATGGCCCAGGATGTGAGTGGGCGTTAAGGCGTCTGGGAAGGGATCTCAAAACTGGATTATAGATGGCAGACAGTTGGTGTCGTAAGCCACCTCCTCTGTTCAAAGATAGTCGCTCACAGTGGACATAAATGGCTTCTTTCACTCCTCTTTCAAACAATCTGTCCTCTCTGTCCAAAGTGAACATTGGCATCCTCAAAAGAGTGTCCTTTGTCCTTTAGATGCAGATCGACTGCTGAGTCTTGTCCCCTGGAGGTGGCTCTTCTCTATTCTAAATCTGGGACTCTCCACCATTTGACCCTAGAACTGAAGAAGCTTCTCGGATGAGAGGTGAAATGTCTTCAAGCAACTTAAAGAAGTCCAGACGTTTTTCTTTCCAAGCTCCTTAGACTACGATGACCTGGATGACTGAGAACCTTCACAGACATTCTGCTGCTGTAGTCCAACTGCTTCACGGTTTGAGATGCTCTTCTGAGCACCTTGGTTGTATCGAGTTATTTGAGTCACTGTTGCCTTCCAATCAGCTGGAAGCGTTCTGGCCATTCTTCTCTGACCTCTGACATCCACAAGCGATTTCGGTCCAGGAAATTGCTCCTCACTGGATATTTTCTCTCTTTTCTGAGATGGCTGTGTGGGAAAATCTGAGCAGCTCAGGAGTTTCTGATACTTAGACCAGCCCATCTGGCACCAACAACCATGACATGTTCAAAGTTACTGAAGTCACGTTCTTCCCCATTCAGATACTCAGTTTAAGCTTTAGCAGGTCATCTCGACCATATCTACATTCCTGAGTTGTTGCTATGTGACTGACTGACTAGATATTTGTGTTAGGGATATACCTTTTGGCACACAGGCCTGCACTTGATATAGCTGTGGGCTTCAAAATTGTAACCGGAGAAGAAATCACAACTCTGAACAGTTTTAACATGAGATCAAAGGAAGAGCCTACTGCTTTACTGGGAGCCATAAAACATCTTGTTTCAAAAATTTAACTTACGTGTAGACTGACACAGAAGGGTGTATCATTCCAATAAGTATATGTCATCCAACAAGGTGACTCTGCTCACTGACAAATATTCACTCCAGTTCAAGTAAAATTCCTCCCTCGGATATGTTATATAAAGCTCCCTGATGCCTGCTGCATTCTAGGAATTATTTTGTAATCAAGTGTTATATCCGCTCTCTCCTAACCTGCATCATCCACTTGGTTTTCTACAGTTCCAGGATGAATTTTCAACAGGCTCCAGGGAACATTTCTGAACACTCTGTATTGCAGTTGTGCTGTACATGTGGGTGGAGGAATCAATGTGAAAATGACAGCCTAATGAGTTTTCCCAGTCAATAAAAGTGTGAAGTCATTCCACTTAGTCAAAGTGCATCTTCAAGCATGACAACTGAGGCTTATGTAGAAAAAAGAATGCAGATGCTTTCTCTGTATTGGATTTTAATTTCTCTAAGACTGTTAAATCTTAGAGGAAAATGCGAATAGTGGACACTAAAATTGATCACACGTTTGATGCCTCAAAGACATGCAATTAATAAATCTGATTATAGACGAACAGAAAATATCTCCTGTATTATAAGAGCTTAAGTCACAGCTCTGACACAGAGAGAAACTTTAGCTTTCTAATGATTTGCTTGATTAAAAGGAACAAAAGGAGGGAAAAAAACAGTGATAAAGTGACAAAAACGTAATTTTGTTTTGAAAATAAAAAAAGTCTTGGTAGTGGCGCTTCGCAGTTAAATGAAAACATTTCTAGCTGCTGTGTTAATACCACCTGTAGACATTGCCAGTACTTTTAAAAATGCAGATGCAATATGCAGCATCGACCATGTGTTCGAGGGTACTTGTGTGTGTGAATGAGACAAATGAAACAGGCTGTATTTCATAATGCTACTGGAGGTCAACAGGGTACCTTTTAATTGAAACACCGGTTCTCTTACCAGGCCACTGAAAATCTGATCCCACCAACACAGTCCTGTGGAAGCAGATGTAAATGCCATCCTCTTAAATAACTACAGATGTTTTCTTTCAAATTCTGTGGACTGGCTGGCTGAATTGAAAAGGAAAGAAACATGTTTCTAGATACCCTCAGGAGAAAGCCCATTTGCCTAATGTTAACATTTACACAGAGGGGTAAATGGGCATATCCAAAAGCTAAAGGTAGGATGTTTTTTCTTTACAGGTGAGGCAACCATAGACTATATATAGAAGAAGGATAAAGCCTCCAAGGTGTACAAAAATGAAGCTAACGCAGAAGTGCCTTAAACCTGCATTAAGACCCACATTAGAGGGAAAGCAAAGCTGTTGATATACCAGTTGCTTTATGTTCCTACCCTGACATAAGGCCCTGAGCTCTGGGCAGTGACCAAAAGAATGATGTCATGGGCTCAAATGAAATGTAGTTCCTCATAATGGTGGAATCTCCCTTTGAAGAGGGAGGGCCTGAGGGGAAGAGACAATACTCTTCCACATCGGAAGGAGCCAGTTGAGGTGATTCAGGTAACTAACTGGTATGCCTCCTCTGTGAGGTGTTTCAGGCATGCACTGGGGTAGAACCAGGACATACTGGCTTGAGAACACTGTGTAGAGGGAAGTCTGGACCTGAACAACCATGGATGTATGGCCCTCGTGTTTACTTGATCATATTACTTTGCTGTTGTAGTCTCAATCATCAGTTTCATGTCTTAATGAATACAACATGATGTTCAATTATGGTTTAATTTAGATGAAAAGAGATTGCAAAGTACGAATTATTGTGTGGCTACCTTGTGATTGACAAGTCACAACCGTGTAAGCACGAAGTGTGCCTCGGTTCCTCAGCTACATTTACCACTTGCTCGTCAAGCCCAGGCCAGCAGAGTGGTGCGGTGGTTTAAAATGTCACTTAACGAGATTGTCCTGGATTCTAACACACCACTGAGCTGGTTGTATCATATGTCCCCCTGCGTTTCCATGGGTTCTTTTAAGGTACTCTAGCATCCTTGCATAGTACAAAGATATGCATATGTACATGTCCATAGGTTGGACTGTGAGTGTGAATGGCTGTCTGGGGTGCACCCTGCTCTTTGCTCCGTGGCAGCTGGAATAGACTCCAGTCCATCCATGACCCTGAACTGGGCAAGCAGTTAAGAAACTCGATGGATGATTGTCAAGTTGAGTTTGAGAAAAAAGACGGCAATGGTGAAAATGCTCAAATAGCATGAAAATCGCTTCACAAATGAATGAATCTCATTACGGCAGCTATCTTTAATATATAGTCTATGCACCTGACACAGTGTCAGCCACAGACAATAACAAAGCATTATGTTACTGCTATTAAGTGCTACTGACTGAGTAGCGGCTAATTCCCACAGCTGAGTTATGGACAGTGAAACATCTACTTAGCAAGCCTGGCATGCCATCAGTCAGTCAGCTGTTGCTGCAAGGAGTGTTTCAGATTTAGTAGATGTTAAGTATAAAGAAAAAAACATGCTTTAAAAACAAATAATTACCTGGATTATATTATGCAACTGAACGGTTCAATAGTCAAGATATAAATGTATTTATCATACGTTCTTCTCATCTCCTAAAACCAAGAAGAAAACAAAAAAGAATCTCTGCATTTTTTCTTTATGAGGAATATAATAGGTCCCTAAGAGCAGAAATGAATTCTCTTCAAAGTGACTGGTATAAAGGGAGTACTCATAAAAATTCTTGCTTTCTCTGACCGTGACTGCAGTTGTATCACAGGAAGTATGCTGCAGAGTGGGTGGGGATGGATGCATGAATACACCAACAAAGAGAATACAGTTATATTACAAGGAAGGCACAAGCAGAACGAGGCACAGAGCAAAGCAAAGACAGAAAAACAACGAGAGAACAAACAGAATGCTGATTTGAATGCCTCTACAAGTTGTTGTCTACAAGCTCCGTATCAGCACAAAAGATCCCTTAAATCCCAACCAAACTCCACATCTCCAAAAATTGCTACACTCCACACAAGCAGTACATGTACAAATGCAAAAAAACCCCCAAACAAACAAAAAAAGTAGAAAGGGATTGAGGAGAAAAAGAGAAGAGAGAGTGAGAGAAAGGCCAATAGTGTGAGAACATGACAACAACATAGTTACATAAGAGATAGAAGCAGCATGGGAGCTACCATAGGGTAGCTCCTGGGCTTCTGCGAGTTGCAGAATGACGCATTGCCCTCACATACACACACACACACGCACACACACACTCACAAACCCCTCTCAGTGCAGTAAATGGCACATATTCACACCGATGTGCTCTATGCAAGAGAAGCCACACCCACACATTTATCACAATCTAGCTCACGACAGCAGGAGTGACAATACACTTACTATAACACTGCCTAGCAGCAGAGGAGCAGAAATACAATATTTACAATCAGTTCAATCCATGTACTATTAAGAGACCACAGGGTACAGCAGCCATGAGCCAATAAAATAATAAGTAGCCTTATATCCACCCACTCTTCTTATATGGGGTCCCTAACTGATATTTTGGCTTTTCCCAGCCATTACAGCTGCTTCATACCTCTGCATGCAGTCTGACTGATAATAAATGGTGAGATTTATCAAGTGCAGCTCAGCTGCTAAATGTCAGATTTTGAGCCTAGACAGGAATAGATGACTGATGGGGCTAACCTTTTTTTTTCTAAGATCTATAAAGCAGGAAATTTTGCAATCAGCAAACCTACTATCTACTTAATTTATTCTTTCAATGCAATTTATTTATATAGCACAAAATCACTACTGTAGTCATCTCAAGTCACTTTCTGTTGTAAGGTAAATAGGGCTTTCTTATCCCAATAACGATATATATTGCAAAATAGTAAATTTTCTGTAAATTCTGTGAATCTCGGGCAACTCGACTTGTGTGAAATGTTTTCAGCTGAGCATCGTGTACCTGGAGTCGAGTGTTTTGACCGATGCATGAAGCTACACCTTTTTAGACACAAGTAGTAATGGCCGCCATTTTCTCTGTGAGTATTTATTACACAGCGTGCTGCGGGAAAAGCCTGTTCTAACGTTTGAGTCTAAGGTTTATTTTCAGCCCTTATGTATAAGTAAGCGTATAATATGAAACGATAGATGTTTTCATATCGTCATACATCGTCGTATCGAACAGCCCTAAAGGTAAAGACCCTACAAAAACACAGAGAAAACACCAACAATCACATGACCCTCTTTGGGGGCTCAAACGCTTGGTGACAGTGGAAAGGAAAAACTCACTTTTAACAGGAAGAAATCTCTGCAGAACCAGGCTCAGGGAGGCAGTTTCAAGCGTTGATACATTTCAAAATAGATGAATATTTTGACGCGCTTTCTTACCGATGTTTATGAAACAGTGTTCATTTTCAAGCCCATCTTTGTGTTAGATCTTTTTCACATTGTCTTTAAAAATACAATTTGCTTTTGTAGCAATCACGCTGCTTTGGTAGCTATTTTTAAATGCGGGCACACACACACACACACGCATAGGTGAGATCAACTGATGAGCTTGAGGAACCTGCATTCCTCCCATCTGGGAATGTAGAAGCAGGCTGCTGTAGAGCGCTTTGCCCTAAACGCAGGAAATCAATATCCTGCAAGTTAATGAGATAGACCCCCTAACCTCAGCATCTGATTAGATAAACAGATTAGCAGCAAAACACACCACCGCCATTAGGTGAAGGGAGTGCAGATGCACACTGCTCATGATAGGCCCATTACACACACTGGCAAACTAACAATTAGTAATGAACATAAAAACAGAATGAAGCTGCTGATGTTCCTCCCAGAAAGATTCCCTTTGCGTTATTATCATCGTGTTAGGGATTAGTGCTTAATGCACTAGAAGTAGCAGTAATTTGATGGTGAAGGTGTTTTAATTGGGTTGTTTTTCAGTTTTTAACTATAATAAAAAATGTATTCACATCACAAAACAGAAAAAAACAAACAGCTACATTACCTTTTGAGGCATCTTATGTTCACATATAATCCATGCTGTTTTGTCACTTACCTAAAAAAGAGAACCAAAACAGAAGGGAGACAGAAGGGGAGAGAGAAGGTGGGGAAACAAAAGAATAATAGTTATCAGGATAATCTGTTGACTGCCCTGAGTTGTAATTTGTGCTTAAACAGGTAGCAGGGTATATTGTATGTTACTCCACCTGCTTCTTTTCACTCACATACACACAAGCTGGAGAAATGAGAAAGGCTGGGATTGTATATCAATACACTGCAGTGATGAAAAAGCTGCTCTCTCCTTATCTTTCTCCATCCCAATGCAAGAAACTGATCTGTGTCGAGCCTCCCATATTCAACTTCCCATACCTGCCCCCCTTTGTTATCTGTGTCCAGAACTGATTAAAATGCCTGTATAATTATAGCGATGTCATAGATGCTGAGAAAAAGAAGGCCACTGCAAGAACCACATATCACTAGTAAACTAATGTAGTTTAGGAAACTGGGGGAGAGCAGCCTGCCCTTTGGATAACAGAGATGAAAGAATACTTAAACAAAATAAAAATTTGAGAAAATGAAAATTTTAACTAATAAATTATACTAGTACTATACCATTAAAATGGTGGTTAAAACACACAGACACACTCACATACACACACACACACACACACAATCATACACTTGTGCCTTCCACCTGGCTGCGTCAGCAACAGCACAACACAAAAGATTATAAAAAGTCAAGAGGTGCAAGACTGACTGAATGCCATTTGTGTGCGGTCACTTTTGTCAGGCGACACTATTCGCCAGGGTGAATATAACGAGCATAATAGTAAATTTTTAGACACACCAGTTTTTATGATTAATTTCAAAAGGTCAGTCAAGCTCTTGTTCCAACAACAGGAGCAGTTAACATAAACAGTTAATATAAACCTTGGCTCATGTGTGGATTAATGTTAGCCATTTAACTATTAGCAACTCCACATTTTGACATCTCTGGTTGGTTTTGTTCTTACACTATCATAGTAACCTGGTTAGATTAGCATTACAACGGATCTATGACATAGTCAGAGTCTTCAGTTAGCATTAGCCAAGATGTTAGCTAATGCTAAAAAGTATCACTAGCAAACCAACAACAGTAACCTAAATTTGGCTAATATCAAACCTAACTTGATAATATATTTATTATATTGGCATTTTTTGAACCCACATTTCAAAGCTATGACATCCCAACAACATGATTGTTCAGCTGTTGAATTTTAAAAGGTCAGTAAAACTTAAGTGTTTCAACAACACTTAAGTATTTCAACCTCACAGTTGGCATAAACATTAACCTGGTTCATGTGCACATTGACGTTAGCTGTTTAACTAGCAGCCGCACGATCTGATATCCTTGTGTTGGCATTGTTTCTACGTCATCATAATCACATTGGTCCAGGATCAACATTGCAACTGTCCAGGGACATTGGCTAAGCATTCAGTTAGCATTAGCCAAGACATTAACTTCTAATTAGCAAGCTAATGTTATTAAAAACTATCACTAGCAAACCAACATGAGTAGCCTAAATTTGGCCAGTCACATAGTTTATCCTGGACTAACATTATTATGGCAAAGGATGCAGAAACAACACCCGCACCTGGATATCAGACACACCATTTACTCATATTAGCTGTCTATTAAGTTATCAGCAAGGTAGCAGCTAATAATGTGGTCGCTAGAAAGCAAATGTTATCAATCTATTTTGTCTCTTTGAAATTCTAGTATCATGACAGTACTAATCATCACTACATTTTTCTTTTATTAGATACCTGGAGCAAAACTTGGATCAGTTTTAAAAACTGTGACACAAGAGAAACACTAAACTGAAACAATGAGCAAGCAGCATCCACATAAAGGATGACTTTTTAGTATAGGTAAAGTCACTACTGCTGCATTGCAGTACTGCAGAGCAATATTAAAATATATGTTATAGAATCATATAAATGTGTTTATGTCCTGCAGCTGTCAGACTGCATTTATACTGTTTATACTGTAAAAGCTTTCACATTAATATCGGAAGGGGCACTATCTTTAAAAATTTGAGGTTTTAAAGCTTTTTTTTTTTTTTAATTACTACCTCAGTGCTTAATTAACAATAAAACACAGTATTATTATCAAAGTCAATATTCGTTCATACTGACAAGACTACAACCCACCAGTGGGCCTTTTGATTTCCATCCATCAACTCCCATCCCCCACACGTCTTCCTTCCCTGCATTTTTCTGTCTATCTTCCCTCTTGGCCAAAAAGATTTGTAGCACGTTTAAATTGAAATGTCAAACATCTAGAAGAGGCACACCAACCAAAGTGAATGGCTGGTGTAACAATCAAAAAGGCAGACTCAAAGGAAATGAAACTAAAATGTTTCTTGCAGAGTTATGCTCAGAAGAAATGAGGCAAACTGCAACACAGAACGAAATCTAGATCCACAGATATGACAGTAAGCAGCGTCTTAAATGAAAAGGCCAGACACACAGGCAGGATGGCAAATGAAAACCGGCTTTCTTCTTCCAGCCATTGAAATCAAATTTATATCCCAAACTACTGATAAACACTTAAAATGTCACTATGCATCATTCAAGACAGTGAGAAAGAGCCTCAAGGAAATTTTTAAATCCTTATTTACTGAATATTCAAGAACATTAGAAATATTCTTACTGTTGATAAAATGAAAACTTGCTTTCCTTTCAGAAAGGAACCACCTACCACCTAGACTTTTTTTTTTGTCCTTAAAGCATGCGTGATTTATTCCACCGACAATTTGAGAAAGACATAAACGTAACATTGACGGCTCTTGCATAACCATCTCATTCTACTCTATCAGTCATTATTCAGGAACATCTTTGAAAAGTCTTGCTCAAGGGACAAAGAAGAGCCTTTTAAAGGGAGAACCTGCTGGAGATATAACACTATCCATTCGCAAATTGTCATTGGTGACATTTATGGAGAGGCAGAAGGTTTGCAGGCAGCAAAGACACCAGGCTTTAAAGAATACACATACTTTCAGACTCATTTCTTAGTATGGCAGCCCAGACCTGACTGCACATTACTTGAACTAAAAGATATAACTTGGAAATATGTAGAATCATCAATCCAAAGCCCTTTATTTTCTACAAATGGATGTGCACACTTGACTGTACTGGGAGAAAAGGGAGGATATGATGTATTTCATATCAGCTATCCTTCAGCCCGTATGTAACCTCAGCAAAAGCCCCATGACTCATGAAACCAGGCATCACCGGTGCCTTTGACTGCACACACCGTGAGCTCATGCTATACATGTCCTGCATGGAGCCAGTGCCAAAGGGTAGGCTGAAAGCTACAGTGACTAAAGCCCATTCTGCTCCAGGACTGTGAGTGAAGGGGTAAAGGACAACTCTCTTCAGTTAGCAGATTCTAATGAGGCATGTTTCCGTGGTGACTGGATTCTCAGCAGGTGATTTATGACATTGCGTAGTCATCACCTCCAGAGCTTCTGGTCCTAGAGTGAAGGGCGACAGCTTGTGATTGGGAACAGCTGTGGAAAACAGGTGTGTGCTTCTCATTACGGCCATAGGGAGATAATGATGCTTTTTAATCACTAGCCCAAGATACGAGACTGCGTGCATGTGTGCATGTAGGACAGCGTGAAGATTCTTAGCTTTGTATGTGCCTAGTTGCACTGGAAGTGCATGTTTGCACCTTTCATGAAGGATTTGTAGAGAGATTTGCATGTCTTTTCAAGTGTAATTCTGTACATGTGTATCTGTGTTCTGTGAGCACTTGTGTGAGAGTGAATGGATAATGAAAGAGAAAAATCAACCGGTAATAGGATACGAGCACAAGCATCCTCTCCCCAGAAAATACTTGCTTTTTTATGGGCAATTCCAAAATGAAAGCACCAAGCAAGAAAGCAGTGACGCAAATAGTACGAGGGCCACATGCCGCTTTTCCACAAACTGCAAAGCATTGTCTCCATGTTGTAGTGTGGATTAAAACCCTGTTATCGTGTCTTTTCCCTCTCTTTTCTTAAGCTCAAGAGGAAGAATAATCAGGACTATAAAGGAAGGTGAGGGTGGTATAAAGGCAAAAAAGAGAGAGGAAAAAGAAGGTCTTCAATTTTGAGGCATCACCTCTGAGCAACACTTAAGAACTTAAGCTCCACAATAAACAGAAATAACAGAGCTCTAATTAATCATAGCAGCTTATTCCTCATGTCTCGGTCTAAAATTGGGAACCCACCGATAGCTGCTTTCCCACCCTGAGCAAGTATTGTGGATCCCCTCATGGGGAGGCAGGCTTGTACACATGCATTACATAAAGTACGCAGGCAGAGGAGAAAAAAGCACACTTAAAAAACAAATGCATGCATTGGTTGCACATTCAGTTTATCAACAAATACTGTCTGCTCAGCCACCCACTCGCAATATATAACTGCACCGTACAAGCCCTGCATGCACTATCAGTAAATACACATTAGACTTAGTCTGAGCACTTGCTGCTAAATTTTGGAAAGAATAGAGAAAATATGTGTGATTTAGCGATCAATGTAATGGATTAGAGTTAAAGTGGAGTTCTTAGGCCTGGTCATCATAACAAATGCCTTTAGTTCAGTTCAAATCATTGATCTCGCTCTGCTGTTTTTCAAATTATCTCTCGGTGGTGAAACTGAAGCAGGAATTACGTGCATGTACGTGCACCGAATAAGAAGCAAGAATGGCCGAACAAAGGAAAAATTACCAATATCACATTTTGGAGATTTTCTCCAATGCTTTACTTGTTTCTTGTACGCTCCTAGCTGCACATAGAAAAGGTTTGCAAAGTCTATACCAAAGTTATTTTCATGTAAAAACAACACTGTTGCTGAGCTGTCGGAAATAATTAACCTGAGGAATAGCTTGACCTTGTAGCCCACCAGTATTTTCTAGAGACACTTTTGCAAAGTCAAACTCTAAAATTCATCAGTCATAAACAAAGTCGAATGAACCCAAGAGCCTGTTTATGTACGTCCCCACAACAATTTATGGAATGGACTTCAT